AGGAGAAAAGTAACGGTGGAATTGAAGAAAGAAAAGAAAATGCATAAGGACAAAAAAGTGAAGGTTCTAGTACTTTAGTGAGATAAGAAGAAGAAAGTAACAAGAATTGTACCTTTTTGGCCAGCCATGTGGGTGTGGATGGAAATAAAATCCAAGAAAATTTCAAAGCTATTTATTTGGTCAACATGTAAAAAATTCCTTGTCTCTTTTCCTTTGCTCCTTCTCCCATCCTTTCCTTCCTTTTTTTATACCAAATTTCTAACAAAGTCTCACATAGGTGGCCGACCATAAAGAGAAAGAATAAGAGAAACAAAAGTCAAAGCATCCTTTGTAAGCTTTGACCAAGTTAAATAGTAAAATTATCATTTAGCCCTCCTAAGTTCTCATTCTTTTTATTAAGTCTTCTCATCACTTTTTAAATTTCAATTTCTTTCTATTTTCTTCCTTGACATGTGTACAAATATAATATAAAGTTTGCACCCCATTAACGTGTCATCATAATATTTAAATATATACTTAACCGATTGTGCTTTATTTCATAAAGACACGCGGCTTCCCTCTAACCACATTGTTTTCCTCCGAATTTCTTCTTTTCTTCTTCCCTCCCACTTAGATTAGTCATATAACCATCTATTTTAACTAATCTCATTGATAAATAGAATATTAATATTTTAATATTATTTATTTAAAAATATTCTTTTTACTTGTTATTATTCTCTAACGCTTAGATTTATGTCAAATGACCCTTCTTCTCATTAATAGAGTCTTATTAACCTCTAAATGAGGGTACGGGGTGTTACAATCTCCCCCACTTAAGACAAATTCGTCCTCGAATTTAAATGGAATGAATTGGTAAGACATACCTTAACCTTGAAAAAAGATATGGATATTCCTTCCTCATTTCCTTTTCAGGTTCCCAAGTTGCCTCCTCCATTGATCGATTTTGCCACAATTTTTACTGAGGTAACTTCCTTAGAGCGTAGTCGTTTTACTTGACGATCCAGTATTGCCACCGATTGCTCTTCAAATGTTAGTCTTTCATCCAATTGTGCCCTTTCATAACGTATAATATGCATCGGATCCTTAATGTACTTCCTTAACATAGACACATGGAAGGTAGGATTTACTTGAGCCAGTTCCATGGGTAAAGCTAATCGATATGCTATTGACCCAATACGTTCCAAAATCTCAAAAGGTCTAATATATCTCGGACTCAATTTCCCCTTCTTTCTGAATCTTTTACTTTGTTTTTGTGGGGATACCTTTAGAAACACAAAATCCCCCACTTGGAACTCCAAAGGACGATGCCTATTATCTGCATAAGACTTTTGTGTACTTTGGGCTATCTTCAAACGTTCCCTTACTAAACCGACCACATCAGTTGCTTGTTGCGCCAAATCAGATCCTAACAATTTCCTTTCTCTCACTTCAAACCATCCAATAGGTGACCTACACTTTCGTCCATATAGTGCTTCGAAAAGAGCCATTCCAATACTAGCTTAATAGCTATTATTATACGCAAATTTCACTAAAGATAATTGTTGGTTCCATGTGATCCCCAAATCTAATACTATCGATCTCAACATATCCTCAAGTATTTGTATCACCCATTCTGATTGGCCATCTATTTGAGGATAATATGTAGTACTGAAGTCTAAATGAGTGCTTAAGGCTCCATGTAAACTTCTCCAAAACTTATTAGTAAATTGTGGTTCTCGATCAGACATTATGGTCACGGGAACTCCATGCAATCATATAATGCAATCAATATATATCTTTGCATACTTAGCTGATCCGCAGCTAGTTTTTACCGAAATAAAATGAGCAAATTTGGTCAATCAATCCGCTATTACTCAAATCGAATCATATCTTTCACTAACACGGGGCAATCCCGTCATAAAATCCATAGCCACGTGTTTCCATTTCCATTCGGGAATCGGTAAAGGTTGTAGCAAACTTGGGGGTTTCCCATGTTCAGTTTTAACTTGCTGACAAATCAGGCATTTGGCTACATATTCAGTTATGTCTTTCTTCATACTTGGCCACCAATAAACCATTTTTAAATCATGATACATCTTGGTGGCTCCTGGATGTACAGTATAAGCCATAATGTGGGCTTCTTCTAAAATTTTTTCCCTTAAGTTATCTTGATTCGGCACATACATTCGGAGTTCATACTTCAATAACCCATCATCTCCATATTCATATCTTTGATCCCACTCTTCCGATCCCAAATTTTCATCACAAACTCATCTTGACCTTGAGCGTTACGAATTCGATCTAAGATCATTGGTCGTACTCGAAAATGAGCAATAAGAGTATTAGGACCATCAATATTCATCTTGATCCCCATGCTGCTTAAACTTGACCATTCACGCACTAAACTTCTCCGTTCAACCGACACATAAGCCAGACTTCCCATAGATTTTCAACTTAAGGCATCAGTTACAATGTTTGCTTTACCGGGGTGATACTGAATGGTGTAATCGTAATCTTTGAGCAGTTTCATCCATCGGCGTTGCCTTAAATTAAGATCACGTTATTGAAATACATACTTCAAATTCTTGTGATCAGTATATATTTCAAAGCTTTCCCCATATAGATAATGACGCCAAATTTTTAAGGCAAACACTATCGCTGCCATCTCCAAATCATGGGTAGGATAATTCTGCTCATACTTTTTAAGTTGCCTCGAGGCGTAGGCTATATCTCATCCGTTTTGCATCAACTCACATCCCAATCTAACCCTTAATGCATCACAATACACAACATACCCTCCTGGACCAATTGGTAAACTTAAGATTGGCGTTGACATCAAACATGCTTTTAATCTTAAAAAATTGTCTTCACATTCATCAGTCCATTCAAACTTAGCTTCCTTTCGCATCAACTTTGTCAATGGCATCACGATCGTCGAGAAATCTTACACAAATCGACGATAATACCTGATCAATCTCAGAAAACTTTGAATCTCAGTAACTGTACTCGGTCTTAACCAAGTTTGAATCGATGCAACTTTTTGCGGATACACACTAATATTCCTTCGATATTACATGTTTGAGAAAACTAACACTTTCTAACCAAAAAGCACATTTAGAGAACTTGGCATACAATTCATGTTCCCGAAGTGCCTGCAACACCATCCTTAAGTGTTGTGCATGCTCTTCAAGATTTCGAGAATACACCAAGATATCATCAATAAATACCACCACAAATCTATCCAAATAAGGCCTGAATACTCTATTCATTAAATCCATGAATGCGACGGGGGCATTAGTCAAACCAAAAGACATTATTAAAAACATAAAATGTCCATACCTCGTACGAAATGCAGTCTTTGGTACATCCTCTTTTCGAACTCTTAATTGGTGATACCTCGAGCGTAGATCGATTTTTGAGAAACATCTCGCTCCTTGCAGTTGATCAAATAAATCATCAATTCTGGGAAGTGGGTATTTATTCTTAATAGTCACACTGTTCAACTTTCGATAATCCACACAATCTCAAACTCTCATCCTTTTTCTTTACAAATAATAGCGGAGCTCCTCAGGAGAAAGTACTTGGACGAATAAATTCCTTTTCTCCCAACTCTTGCAATTGCTCTCGCAACACTCGTATTTCTGCCGGTGCCATTCGATAGGGAACTTCAAATATTGGTTCTGTGCCATGAATCAAATTAATACAAAATTTAACTTTTCTTTTTGGGGGCAATCCTGGTAATTCATTTGAAAACACATCTTTGAATTGATTAATTATTGACATTATTTTAATATCGAAAAAACTTTCTCCCATTGGCATCTTTTTTGTGGCTATTGCGCACGTCAGGTAATTCTGTCCGGTTTTCACTCTAGTGATCTCTGTCAATATTTTTTTATTGCACGGACTTTTATGTCCATATATAATAAAAGATACTTCTCCGAGAAACTTAAATTTCACATATTTATAATGACAATCAACGTTGGCATAACAATCAT